TCTGTTCATGCTGCGATTATAAAATATTTCCTTTGCCATTTGCAGATAATCGGCATTGCTGTGATATGCATGATATTCTCAACATGAGCTAACGGGAATGCTGTGAATACCACAGTAAAATTTATAACTTGTAATTCTAGAATGTAAAGACTCTGTAATACTGGCCACTGATGATATTAAGTATTGCTCTTAATCCACTCTCTGCACGGGGGGTTTGGGCTGGGTTGTGGCGTACTGAATTGCATGCTGTTAGATAGGGCTACAGCTGCAGAAACATTGTGGATTTGTATTCTCAGTATTCATTTCTGACCTCCTTGGGACTAGGGTCACTTTTATCCATTCCTTATACCACCCTTTTTACTGTCGTGCTTTGCAAAATAACTCATAGGTGGCATAAAAGACAGAAAATCTATTGGTGCTAGTTATTGGAAGTTTGTTCTTGGTTGAGGATGATTCAGTAATACGGTACCTGTGTGGTTTTCCTTTTCTTATTCTTTTTAAATGAGAATACAACTATATTTTTAACGCAATTTCACGTGTGTTCAAGGAGTGTTATAATAGCAACAAAAATGCGTTAGAGAGCAAAGAAGGGTAAAGATGTACATAAAAATACTTGAAACAAGAGTAGCAAGGTAGTCTCATTCAGTATTACACTTCTTCAGATTTGTATCTATATATTCCATTAATTGCAGTGGCACGCTTTTGAGCCTGTCTCTTACAAACAAGGCAGTCAATATTTATTCCTCTGAGAAGTTTGTTGCCTGCATCCCACCAATGGTGTTACATTTATTATAGGGTAGAATGAAGCAAAACTTGCATATGAAATATGACAAGCATATAAATACATATGAAAGCGTATATATTTCATATAGTTCAGGGCTGGTTATATGCAGCTTTTATTATGCTTGAGCCCTAATGTTCTCCATGGCATATAGGGTATTGTTGTCGTTGCCAGTGTTTTCGTAAATACAATAGATTCTAAAAGGTCCCCAAAAGATCAGCTGTTCATCTCTGTTTCTTATTAATTTTGTTATTATAGGCTTTGGTGTCATTGTCGAGTGGTAAAAATCTCCATTTGTTTATATTTTCAACCCATCTTCTGTTCCTTCTTTCCAAATATGAATTAAGCTTTTTGACAGTTTTGAACAAATCTTTTCCTTTTAAGTCTTTCTATTCTATTTTCTTGGGTTTGGTCCTTATTATCATATGAGAGTTCACCTCCTTTATTTGATCCTAACTTTTCGTCTCACTTTCACTTCCCAGACCCATATTTATTTCTGCTCTTACAACTTCACATCTCTCTCTTTCAGTACTCTCAGCACTTATTCTCTTTACCTTAAAAACCACGAAAAATGAGAGATCTACAGGATATTTCTACTTGCTGAACACCAGAACCTTTTTGATCAATTAACTGTCGATGATTCTTATGGTTGAATCCGTTCTTGAAATAAATAATCAGGGCCCATATGGAACGTGGCACCATATTGTGACTATAGGATTTTTTTTGGTCAGTTTTCTTTCTTATTAAAAAAAAAATCCAGGATAGACTAAAAATAGTACTTTTTCTGTATATTTTAGACAACAATGCATTATGTTGTTCCATGCTATTCAGTAGAATGTGAGGTCTGAAAGTGAGACCAATTTTTCTGTCTTTTCCTCATGTGCCAGTCCAGCAACTTTATTACTGAAAAGTATATTTCACATTAAAATAGAAAATTCCAAAAACATTTTCAATTTCAAAATCTGTTTTATTTTTACTTCATATAGACTTTTCACAGGCAAGTATTGATTACTGTCATGTATATGTGCTTTTTATTTTCCTTGTTGGGCTTTTCCATGTGGTTCAGTAGCAACCAGACTGATTATCAACAACGGCTCTCAAACCATGCCTCTCCATGAATGTCAAGTAAATTCAGTAGTGTACATCCCTTTGTTCTGCATAATAACACTGTTATATATTCGCCATTAACAAACCTGTATTATGTCTGACATGTAAAGCTTTTTCCATTATCCTTTTCTGTATGAGCTGCCTTGTCGCTTCAGGTTATTCCTAATTTTGTCTGATTTAATTCCATTTCCTTCCAGGCAGAATTTACTTTGACTTCTAGGTGCTGCAGTCAGTCAGTTAATATAGTGCATTCTTCCTCATTATGGCTTTTTGCAGTTGGTTTTACATTTAGTGTTTTAGGGACTTCACTTGATTGTGTTACTTTTGGTTTGAGTTTGCTAGACGTCCAAGTTAAGATCTTTTGTGTTTTAGTTTTAGTGAGCAAGTTCTGTGATTCTTAATCTGAAGCACACCTTACCTTAAAAATAATAGTAATATCAGACTTAAATCCTCTGTAGTTTAAACCACATCCTGTAGTTTAGCCCCCAAAAGAAGATTGTTTTCATGGACTCATCACCACTGACTAAACAATAGCCATGTTAATAATATTTTTCTTGCTTGGAAAATATGGTTTTTATTATCTTCATAAGTGCTTCTTGTCTTTTTTTGTGTGCCATTCCAAACTATGGGAAAGTCTCTCACAAGCTCTTGATTTAATTCTTCTTGCAGGGATCTCATTCCTCATGTAAATAATTTGTGGTTGGAATAAGAGCTTGATTGATGTTTATGTTTTGGAAATTTTAACAATTAGCTGGCAATCTGGTCATTTATGTCATTGAATTCCATTTTTGGAAAGTCATGTGTACCAAAAAATCAGCTCCACATCTCTTTTTATTTTTAATACTAAGTGCCCCGTAAAGGGCTTAACGGAAGGTTATGATCCCCTTGCAGTGGATGGTACCTTAAAGAGCAGATGGGAAAACTCAACACAAAACACAAGACGTGAATGCAACAAACCCCTTGTTTTGCCACATTTGGAGTCTGGTTGGGTCTTTTCCTGCAGGTATGGCAGGGAAGCAAATAAGAGCATTTTAGTTTTTTGCCTTTAGTTTTCCTGAGCTTTCGAGCAATGTTTTCTGCTGCCTCCTCTGTCCCTGACTGAACTGGCACTGTTCCCGTAAGTCTAAAAGCCTCCAAGGGATGAGAGAAGCGTACACAATGATACTCGTCGTCTCCAGAATCACATGAGCCAAGTGATACTGAGAATTTTCCCATTTTCAGTATCAGGTCTGAAGTCCTCTGTCATGTCGATTAAACCAACGTAAACAGTTAGCTGTTTTGCAGAATCTTGCACACACACACCCCCATCATTCTATGCTCGAGAGGTGTGAAATTCTGCCTACAAAAATCCATTTTATTTTCATCCCATACTTCAGTGGCAAACTGAAGAGCTGGGGAAATCCACTCAGCTGCCTGTCAGATGGGAAGATTCAGTCCACCCCATCCGTGTCGGCAGATCCATGTGCTAGAAACTGCATCTGTGGAACAGCGCGCAGGGATCGGGATTCCCTACTCTCTGCGTAGCTGAAATGGCCACTGTCATTTCCACCTTTGTTAGCTGTCTGCAATATTAAATGTCATCTTATAAATGTATTTAAGTTTCTGTAGCCTACTGTACTGCATGCGTATGTATGGTGGTGTAAAAAACGATCTGCAAAACCTAATGATTCAACCTTTTTCTTAAAAGTACTACTTTTTGACCAAGTTATTGAATAATAACTTTAAGATACAAAAATGAATATATTTAGTAAAAGTTAGTTTTCAGAGAACGGCATGTGTACTTTCGTTATGTTTCAAACTCAGCCATCAAACAGGATGTTTAATTTCTAGCACCATCTCTAAGAAGATGCAAACCTTATCTCTAATGTAAGAAATCAAGTTATTTTATTTTGACGATTGAATTCTAGCACACAGGCAATAGTAATCATGGCGATGAACTTTATGGGGTTTTTTTTTTTCAATTTCTCCTGTATTACTTTGAAAAATAGTTAATCGGGTTTTAAATTGTATTTGAAAAGAGTAGCTTTTCATCTGCTGAGAATCTGTATGCTAGATTTCAGGCCAAAGTGAATTTTCTTTCTGTATGGTCTGATCTTGCGTCTTTGAAGTCTGTGTGGAAAGGATCTTGCTGATTTCAGAGCTCTTAGGCTCAGGCCCAGAGGTTAAACCCTTTAAAAAAAGAGGGGGGGGGAGAGAGCTGTCAAAATGTGATGGAAATATATGGGTGAATTATGAGCTTCAGCTCCAGTGAGGTTGTTTGGCAGTATATGTATTTAGGGGCTTAACCTAAAGTTAAAGGTTCTGTTTTTCAAACTCGTGCAGCTCCAGTTGCCAACATGGGCTCAGATATAGGAAAGCGTAGCTCTGGACATGTAGAAACACCCCTTTCTTTTTCTGTGGACAGCTTATTTGATCACTGGAATGACTTCTTGGCTTTTATCTTCACTCGTCAGTGGCCATTCTGTTTTCACAGAGCAGAAGTGCCAAGTGCGGACTGTTGCCCTCTTTCTTCTTCCTTTTCATAAACATAATGACAAAGGATGGAGCACGTCACTCCCTCAGTTGGTCTCGCAAAGCCAGCTTTAAAGGCGTGGAAACTGCATATAGAGTTGACTTGAAACGCTGTAAAATAAAAATAAAGTGAACTAGTCTCAGCTTGGCTTAAGATGAGACATTCGAGTCCTAAACATTGATCTGGTCTATGTGACATTCGTGAGCTACGGCCATGGCACCCGTTGTATTTCACGTAAGAAAAAACTTCCCATGATTGTTTTTGTCTGAGTAAAAGGAAAAGGTATTTCTCTAAGCCTTGTTCTCAACAAGCAAGGATTGCTTACGATGCTCTTTCTTTTTCCCTCCGCACCCCCTCCTCCTGCAGAATCGCATCGGGAATTCCTTCACAGGCCTGCGTCTGGATACGTGCCAGAGGAGATCTGGAAGAAAGCTGGTAAGAACTGTTTAAAAACACCAGCTTAGTCTTCTGGCAGCTGTGTGCAGTTGTTAATGCACTGATGTGAGGAATGAGAAAAAAAGGGGGGGGCTTACTAGTAACAGGAAGAAATTGTGTTTAATAATCTTAAACTGGAACTGATCAGGACATGAAATAATCTTTATAATAGAAGCATCTGCTGCTATAGTTAGGGGGATATCAGTACTTCCATTAAGGACCCCTATTTTCTGGGGTTATAATGGTTTCAGGCTGAAACTTGATATGCTAAAGTTTCAGTCTGTTAGCAATTTAAAAAAAAAAGTTTGTGTGGGATTTTTTTTTTTAAGCTTCAAGGTTCTTACCTATTTAAGGTCAGAATTCCCCATAGAGGGAAAAAACCTAAGTATACCTGTTAAAGAAAAACCTCCAGCTATGCAATGTAACCGTTCTTAATTTTAAAAAGATTTTGTGCCTGTCAGCCCCCAGTGAAGTCTGTGCTCATAAACTTGCAAAGTTTTCAATGAAGTAAGCAAGATCGCATCTCTGCAGCTGCTCTGGGTGGTTGCACCGGCTCAGTGTCTTCCCTGGGCTTGAAAAGCCCAGGCTGTGGTTGTACAGAGTTTTCTTCAACACTTTAAAACTCTGCCTGAGCACAGGAGTTTCCTGGCAAGGATCCTGTTGCGGTGCTGGAAGCTAAACTTTTGCTCTTTCAACATCGCTATCAGAGTTTCCTTGTTTTCAGAGGGGCTGGGAGGTAGCTCTTGAACTCCAGTGACGTAGCTGAGCTTCTGTATATACGCTCATACACACACACCCCTTTTGAACACCTGTATAACCATGAAGTCTACTGCAGCTGTCTGAACAGGAGTTAATGATTAAATGGCAAATATGCAGCAGTTTTGACGCTTTCTGCTCAAATCTCCTGTAACTGCTTGCTGCTCCTTGGTGTATTTTAAGCTAGATACAGAACATATGTGTAAAAATGTTCTGCTGGCATATTTTTGCATCAGACAAGAAGTTGTGTTGTTTATGTGATGTGGGTTTATCATGTAAAGTCTACATTTGTCAATATGTAAATTAATATTTTTGAAATTGCTGTGATTTATGTGAAAAATAACAAAATAATCTACAACTTTTTCTTTTGTCCAAGAAAAGTGTAGCCTTTGTAACGCAACGCTCTTGTGTACCCAAAAGTTTTGGGTTTTTTTTTTTACCATATTTATGTTAACATCTTAAATGAAAAATAAGAAAAATATATGCAGTCCCAGGAAATCTCAATAAGAGGAGCATTATTCAGTTGAATTTCAGGAACTTTATTCTTCTTGCAGAATCTAGGTTTTGATGTTGTTTGGCATATCAGGTCATTTATGACTCCTAGATGCAGTACAACAGAAGAAAAAACGTTTCTTCATAAGCCAGCAAATAAGCTAGCTTCAAGTTAATTGAAGTTTTTGGCCTGAGTTATAAAATTGGATGTGCATTCACATTGCATATATCCACAAATGGTAGTGTAAAGGAGCTGTGACATATCATCTTGTGAACATATATGTCATCGGTTCCTTTGAAACAAAGTTTTTCCATTGGTCCCATTTCTAGTCTCTTATTTTCATGCTGATGTGGGTTTAAATCAGATTCCCTGCATTCCACAGCTTGCCTGTGAATTGGAGAATAAAAAGAAGTCTGACTCCTTACAGGATGTACACCTGTATCTGTTACTAAGAGTAGTAAAACATCAGAAAGCATACTGCTTTTCATAAGTCATGGGCCTTCATTTTCAGGAGGGTGCACTGAAGTTGGAGGTCTCCACAAGTTCATAATCAGTTCACGGCAGTAAAGGTGCAATTCAGCTCTGTAAGAATAGGTCTCTAGTGCCATTTGAGATGCTCCGTAGGTTCCTGGCTAGGCTGCAGCTGCCAGTCAAGAAGGCTGCAAATCTCTCACAAGTCATTTCTGCTGGGCTCAGTGTGGATATCTTGGTATCTGAAACGTCTGTAAAGACCAATGTGTAGACAGCTGAATCAAATATAAAAGTCTGATTGGGATGCTGAATCCATTGAACTGAAAGAATTTGGCAGAAAAACGGTTAATAAGCAACCTCAAAATCCTGTGAAAAAGGGATTCACTTTAAACTTTTGGAGATTGATAGACTCCAGCGCAATTCTTTAAATATACCAAGTTAAGCACGTGCTTTTGTGATTGTTGGAGCAAGCACATAGTGAGCAGCACGTTGTGAATTAAAGCCATGTGAACCCAATTCAGATTCATACATCAGTGGAAAGTCATCAGTGTCCTGATTCATCTCGTTGAATTAAAGGTATGTAGATGAAGAGTCCAAGCCAAATTCTTAGTGGCCCTCAGTAGTCAAGAGAGAGGCAGGCATGTGGAGAGGATCAGTCAGATCATAGGCTGGATGACTTGCTCTCTGGAAATACCTATTTCTCTTTATTAAATACTGAGGGGATCCCAGGCCCACTGTGGGCTGCTGCCTTAGCTTCTTTCTGTGTCATGAGGAAACCATCTTCCAGCCATCTCCTATCACACAGCAAGGCCTACTGTTCATGGCAGTTCTGGACTGGAGTTACCAGTTACTCCAGTTACTTACTGGAGTTAAGCTCTGGAGTTACCAAACAGGTGTGGAATGACCATACTTTGTCATACAAGGACAGTAAAGACCCAGGGTCCTGAGAGTGAGATGACGCAAAATGTCATGGTGGCACAGGACTGCACCCCTGCCCACCACCTTTCCTTTTTCACCGTGTGGACTGAGTGTGCCCACGATGTGAGGGAGGTGACCGGGAGCTGGCTGGTGAATCATCATGTTGGGTTATATACAGGAGTGAATGATGAGTTGAGAACCTCTCCTCAGTCAGCTCCAAGGACCTCTGATCACGCTGAGTAATGCCTATTCCACACAGGCTGTTGGCTCCCTGGAGCTTCTCTCATGAGTCTCTGGAAAAGCAGAGACATATTTTAACTATTTGGTTTCACACTTAGTATAGCACAACACAAATTCTGTGGTCAAAGTTAATGCAAATGCTAAAGTCCAATCCATAGTTTATGCCAATTAAAAAGTATTAGTCAGGCATATGGCCTCGTAAGCACTTTTAGCATCTTCACACTCTCCAAAGCTTTGCAAAAAACACTTACGCAATATAGAAGTTAGAATATAAAGTTCAATTTCTGTATTTGGACTGAAAAGAAGTAGATTATGTAGGATTAAAAACTATAAAATTAGAAGTCTCTGTAAAACGTTCGAATATTGTGCTTCTGTTTAATATAATAGTTTAAACTGGCATTTCTAACCACTGCAAACACCTCAACATAAGACTGAATTTATATGATGTAATGAAAGTGCATCATGCCATACAAAGATAATTTCTATTCGTAGCAAATATCAGCAAGACTACAGATTTTCTCAAAGAAATCCACTTTGTTCATAGACGCAAAATGTCTGTATTTAAGTTGCCTCATTTTTATGAAAATGGTAATAAAATTGCATCTGTATGTTTGCCTGTGTATATTTCTTTTCTCACGATCAGTGAATGTTTGCAGTTGGTAATAAATATTCAAGCACCTTGCAAATGTCCTACCAATTCCCTTTGCTGATCTGTGTGTGCCTGTGGGACTAGAATAGGAATGCATAATTTAAATATAAATTGCCTGATTTGCATATACAATTAGTCTAGCTGCAGCTTTGATCGTAAGCAAAAATTATTGTCCTGTATTGCCACTTAGATAGAATTTTAATTCACCTTGAATATTCAAAGTAAATTAAGCCTTGGCTGTATGGTTGAAGGGTATGATTTTTTCCTCTCCTGAGGCTTTTCCCTAAACAACATTTATGGTAGGGTAATATAAGGGCATATTTTCAGCCTCATAAAAATAAAGGCATAAGTTTTATCTCTGAATTCCCCTCCCTCGAAAACTTCAGTTGAAACATCTCTCGCAGACATGCACACACGTAACACACACACACGCGTAGAATAATAGAACTCTTTTTTGATTTTAATTAATTCAGTTTTAGTCAGTACATGGCCTAAAGTTAAGTTTTTGCTGTAATTTGCTTAATAACTGAAAACGGAGGCTGCATGTAGTCCTTATCTTTTTTAAATAACAAGTGCAGAGCTGTGAGACATAAAAACTCAAGAGAGTTGTTGACACAGTATCTGTATGTAAGAGTTAGGTCTATGTGCATGTGCATGCACACAAATACAAGGGCTAAATACATGGACTAAAACTCAAACCCGCAACACGGTTGTAACGCTTAGATTTTAATCTACAGTAAAACATTTTTATTAGAAATCTATGTTTTTAATTAAACAGAACATTTAATTAAGGTGGTTTTTAAGTGGATGAAACAATTAAGTGCAAACACTTGAATGAAACATGTCATAATTAGTTTTAATAGAGTGTTAATTGGTACTAGGTTTGCCAAGTTAATAATTACTGCTTATTAAATTTTCAATTAATCATTGTCATTTTGCTTTGAATAAAGATGAAAATTAGATAAACTAATTCAGGGGGAGGATGGTTTCCTTGTTAATTAGAGCAGTTAATTAAAAAAAAAATTACTTGTTTTAGTTGTCAATTAAAAGGCTGTTCATTAGTAAAATCTTTGCACTCTTCCTGCATCAAAACCCAAATAACTAATTTGTGACAATCTGTGTTTTCCGGAATAAAAGATATGACGCTAGTATATACCGAAGAAAAGGCTCACACTGACTTAGTTACTTTGCAAGAAGCATGAAGGTTTGAATTTAGTGAAGCGGTGTGCCCCTGCTCGGTGTTAATTGTGTGCTGAAGCCTTGCTGGCTGTGGTGTGCTTAAGAGCTCGGCGGAGCCAGGAAGTCGAGTCTTCACAGTGTAAACAGGGGTTTGAAGGAGAGATCAAGAGGTCAAGTGAATGTTCATAAACAAATTTTAATTTTGGCTCGTAAAATTATATGCCCCGGAAAAGATATCAGACCAGTGATTTAAAATTTTTAAAGAAACTCTTGGGGATTTTTTAACCTCATGTATTTATTCATTAACATATGGGGAAAAACATTGTTAATGACTATAAATCTTATCTTCATTTCCAGAGCTTAAGGATACATTTTGAAAAAAATCTGTAATATTATGTCTTAAATAATAATTTCTGCCAAAGATATTCATAAATCTGGTGTGCTGCAAACCCAATTTTCCAAGTAACATGTTGAAAAAGATTACAAAAATAACGCACCAGAGATCTGAAATGTCTGTACTTACAGAAGTACTGACTGTGAATCAAAATAGCAAGAATCATCACAAGTGTTAGTGGGAGCTTTCGATGATGGGGAACTAAAGAAGCACCTGGGTGGTCCTGAAGGGTCTTGAGGAACCAGGTTCCTCTGTGTCCTTCTTGAAATGAAAACTCTCGGTATGATAGAGTCTCCACTGCATTTCATGCATCAGTCCTACGTAGCCGTGTGCCCAACGTCCTGTGCTGAAGAGGTTTTCTCCCCTCCCTTGTAGAGGAAGCTGTCAATGAAGTAAAGCGTCAGGCGATGGCCGAGTTGCAGAAGGCAGTGTCGGAGGCAGAGCGGAAAGCTCACGACATGATCACTTCAGAGAGAGCTAAGATGGAGCGCACTGTTGCCGAAGCCAAGCGCCAGGCTGCAGAGGATGCACTAGCTGTTATCAATCAGCAGGAGGATTCAAGCGAGGTAAGGTCTTTGCTGGGCTGGCATCACCTGTGGCTGCATACCATGGGTGTATCTGGGCTGGCTTTAGTCTAGCTGGCACAGGCTCTTTGTGTGACATCGGAGTTCGGTGCCCACTATTAACTGTTCGCAGAGTTGCTTTGGACGCATATTTCAGGCGCGTGCTGAGCTCCAAATTTTCTTGGCTACGTTGTAATCTGAGCCCAAAATAGCTAGTGAACTTGAGCTGTGTTCTCACCTTTTCACTGCTGTTCAGGGTTACATATAATGCGCACATTTCTGTTCTAATTTAGCTTTTCGGTAGCTTTATTTTAAAGATCTTCAGACTACCATATTGAATAGATAACAAGATTGTTCGGTAGAAAATATTTCACAATGAAATCTAATTTAAACAAAGAAACAGTTATTTAAGAGATTGTAGAGCAAGGTGGCTAAAAGCTTGTCTGGGGAAAGTATTGGATGTAGAAGCGATTAGCAAAAGATGATGGTTCCTGCAGGACAGAATGTGAATGTAGATTTGCAAGTGTTTCTTTATTTTGCATGTGTTACTTTGGGTGTAGGGATTATTTGAGAGTTGAGGAGTGGGCAAACAGCATTTGGAAGGAGGAAGAATAGCTGAAAGAGCAACGAAGAGTAAAATAAGAATAAGTATGTTAAGCCTTGATTTACTTTCAGACGTGAGAGTGGAAGCCATGAATTGCTGCGGTACGGGACATCCAGCAGAACGACTGGCTGGAAGCTGGGAGTGAGGGAACAGCGGGTGTTTGACCAGTGCTGCAGCAGTCTTGACAGCAATTAAATTTTATGTCGTTACAGAAAAACAATGTCCTAAGTTAAAACTTAAAAACAGACATAACAAAGAAATTATGGCAGTTAAAAGTTATTTATATATAATCTTCATCTCTCAAGGCCACTGAAATGAAAAGAGTAGATGGCGGTACCTGTTGTGCGCGATGTGTATTTGTGTACGCTGGTACACAAGCACTTTTCATGGGCTGGATGGGCAGTGTTGTAGAAGAGTCATTTAAGTTGAAAGATGCAGATGAGCTAGCTGCAGCATGCTGAGAAAACTGGCAAAAATCACAAGCAGATAAGTCGGTGGCATGCTGCAGTATGCATCCATAATTTGAGGGAGCGTAAGATTTTAATTCATACCAGGCTTCTCTGGAGATGAAAGACCATTGTGGGATCACTGAATGCCCAGAGTTTCTCCTTAATGTGTAGCAGATGAATAACAAGGAGACAAAAGGAATTGATTTTCAGCATCTGAAAGTTTCTCAGGAAGAAAGGGACTAGGGGAAGTGTATGTACCCTTTAAGTACTAACTGTTCCATTGTAGATTAAATGAGACATAAATTCAATTTATTGGCATTTTGTATCTGAGATACTCAAGGACATTTTTCCTGTACTATGTTCATAGAAAGGGCATTTGTCTGACTTAGCATCATTAAAGAGCTGTCATTTTGTGTGTGTATATATACAAAAGACTTTTATTGTTAAAACCAAAATTCCTCCTTTGGAGGAAACTGCGAATTAAATCTGTTTAGTGAACTGATATAGTGTAGGCAGGACAGAGGAAGTACTTATGTGCCAATACATACAGACATACAGCCCGTTCTTCCACAAGCAAATGTGCATCCAAAGGAACGCGTAGAGAGTTTGTGTGCTGTAATTCACTCCTCAGCAGTCATAGCTCTGGAAAAGGCTCTATAACAACAGACATCTTTACTTCTTCTCCACCAGATTGCTTATGAGGTTGTTCACTTCTTGGAAACAAGACTTTAAAAAAAGGCAAATAATTCTTTTAATTGCATTCTAATGAAAGGTGTCTCATAGGGTTAGAGATGTTCTCAGAGCTGTGCATTCTCAGGGAGGATACAAGCCTCCTGGACCTAGAAATGAAGTCTAGTGTCCTGGTCCTGCAGCTTTCACCCCTGTGGTCATGAGTGGCACATTAGGGTGGCTGTTTTGAGGTGAAAAATGCAGGTTTTAGTAAACCTGCAGAGAGAACTCAAGTTTGCTCAGTTTGTGTTTACAGGTGCTTGGTTAATTCTGAAGGGAGATGACAGTGATACTTATTTGAGAGTTAGATGTATCTATTAAGTTTGTATAATCATTCTTCGGCTTCTAATTATGCCAGACTCCAAACACTGAGGGCAATGCTGCTCATGATTACCTGTTAACTCAGGCTGTCCTTTCTTTTTTTTGATAACTCCTGTAAAAATGGACCAGCCTTTTTCTTCATCTTTGAGGACAGGAGATCAGTTTGCCAGTGTTCGAAAATGGTTTCTTTGGAGATGAGACTTTGTGTTTATTAGGGTTGAGGAATAAAACCTCACGTTTGCTTTGGTGTTCATTGTTTCTTGATATATCTGTGAATGTCCCTCCTCATTTGTCTCGGTTGTAAGTCTCCATAAACTTGTCTCTGTTTACAACTTTCAGCAGTACGCTTCCAGCAACGCAGATTCCTGCGTACTAGAGGCACTGGAGTAATATTTCCAGGGCTAGAATATTTCCAGTTCCAAATATGAGGATGCTGAAGTAGCAGCTTCTGCAGTCTTACAGATTTAGAGGGAGGCTGAGCATCACTACTTATTTCTTATCCTTGGCAGGACGTCATACAAGGCCTGCAAGAGAGCTCAGTATAGGCTGCTGTATAATCTCCATGCAGTTCCTGACAGAGAATATTTCTCCCACGGGTGTCATTTGTTCTTTTGGCTGTGGAAACTATGAATGGAGATGGGAATTTGGCATCAGGTTTCTAATATATCAGATACAATTTTCGTCTGATACGACCACTCCCTGTCTATTGGCAAGGTTTCTCCCTTACAGCTCTTCATTTGTTATTTAGTGAAATGCAACCTGGACCTAGTGGAGGCTTATTGAAGCTGCTCTGGTGTGAAGACTCTGTGGCATGATTTTTACTGCAGTCTTCTCCAGAGCTCAAAGTGATAACTAGTACTAAGACTTAAGATTTTTGTAATTATTATAATTTTAAGATAATACGTAGTCTTCTCATCCAAGACCTTTCAGAGGTCTCACAAAGAGAAGCAGATTGGTTGGGGTTTTTTTGTTGTTGTTGTTCTTGGGTTTTTTGTTTTGCTTTGTTTTTAACCCAGAAAAAGTAGCATCCCTGACTGCAAGACTGTCTGCAAGAAAACAGTGAAGCTGGACATTTTGAACTGACTGGAGCAAAATAAAGGGGCCTTAGGACAGTGAGAGGACTAATAGAGGAGGTGTGATATTTGGAAGCATCCTGATTTTTAAGAGGTGGTCTGCAATATTCTGAGAATCACCACATTACATAGTATAGTTTTAATTTCTGACCTGACCTGGTCACTTGTTGAACTATTGTTCTTTGCTTGTGTTTGAATTATTCAGTATGATTTAATTCGCAGTGCCACTGCTTCAGTGTCTGTACATTTACTTTCTAAAGATTTCCATAATTTCTTGGCATAAGCCCTTGCGACTGACCAGGACATGTTCATTATATTCTGTTATTATAACGAGAGAATGGTTGAAGACCAGCAAACGGAGCACACTGCTGTTGGAAAGCAAAAGGACAGGAGAAGGCCTACCTGTCAGCATGGCTGTTCCTGAACCACAAATTATTTCTTTACCAGTTCCTTACAGTTGCTTGACAAAAGATGACCCATTCATCAGCAGTTGACTTGGCTAAGTACAGAAACATGTGTGAGCAGCCTACTCTTTAATGACTGCTCTGCTTGCTTTGGCTGCGATGTACTGTTGTGCAAATCAATTTTAATAGTAAGGGCGAACAGCTTAGCAAAGAGACTGGCTGCCCAGATTGTAGGGGAAAAAAAAAATCATCAAAACATCTGTCTTTCTGCTCTGGTATAAAATGCCACTGAAAAATCTGACACTCAGTGTTCTTCCTCACTTCTGAGTAGGGTGGGGGCTGGGGACGGGAAAGGAACACAAATGTTTCGGTTCTCTCTACTTAAAGCAGATGCTGACATCTGCTCAGATAAAACAAGTATGTAACTGGTCCAACACTGCTTTTAAGAGATGTGTAATGTTAGGGCTTGTTTATATTGCAGCAGTTCATGTTGTATGTGAATATCACACTTACCTGACATTTTGAAGACAGCTGGGTTCAATCTCTGCTGACCAATCCATTGAGACCAGGACTGTGCCAGCAAACCTGACTCTGAGCATCAGATGCTGTGATTCAGGCAAGCCTGTTTTTTAGGCTGGTATTAAATTTAATACATATGTCAGCTAATGTTTAATTTTTTTGACTGGGCATCTCTTAGAAAGTAGCACATCATCCCCTGCAGTGGTGGGTGGTACAGAGGCGCCAGAGCCATGTGTTCTGCACAGGATCGGTCCAGATGTGATGTGAACATTGGCACTGCCCCAGACTCCTAAGCTAAGCCTAGCTAGCCAGCTTGCACGTCTCTTCCATATGCTTCTCCGGACTTCTGTTTTCAGGATTTAGCTTCTCTCATAGAATCATAGAATCATAGAATCATTAAGGTTGGAAAAGACCTCTAAGATCTTCGAGTCCAACCGTTAACCCAACACCACCATGCGCACTAAACCATGTCCCTAAGCGCCTCATCTACACGTCTTTTAAATGCTTCCAGGGATGGTGACTCCACCACTTCCCTGGGCAGCCTGTTCCAAGGCCTGACCACTCTTTCATGCTGACTTGTATGAACATAGATGTACTTCACACAATGAACAGTGGCTTGGGCAAGCCTGGAGTGTTCAGTGATAGGTGTAACTTTACTAGAAGCATCTAAAGGTTTGAATATCTTTATATGGAGCGCTGCATTTTGACACAGCATGGGAATTTCCGAAGTACCAATGTGTTTCCCTTTCTAACGGGTCTTGGATAGAATTTTCATAAACAACTTTGCTGTTTTTTTGCACTGGTGTTCAGTGGCTCATATAGTCCTCGTTTACGCCACTGTAGTTTCAGTGATTTCTAGATGTTCTTTTTCTTGTGGTTAGCAGTGATAGAATTTTGAACGACATGGGAATTGCAGAACCGGGAAAAATCTGGGTTCTTCATACCCAGCCATGCTTCCTTTCCTGATAAGCTGGAGAAATCCAGAATTTGTCAAAGATGACAGAGCAGTGTTTGACACTGTATTACGGCATTTCAGAGTTCATCATCTCTTTGACATGTCACAGTCCATTTGGGTTTTTTTTCTTCTTTAAGCCAGCTCTACACTGAGTCTCAGCTGGAGGTGTTAGAGGAAGGCAAATACTCAATTGTGGTTACATATTTCAAAGATGAAAGCGACAGGATGGGCAAAATTATTGACAAGTATGTGTCCTGGTACTGGAGACCACAGAAATGGAGACTATTTGTTTTTAAGATTTTTCATGATGGCGAACAGAAGTTTCTGAGCTCTGTTGTTTGAAGATGGAAGCTTAAGTGCATGAGAATTAAGTGTCTGACCTAAGATAAGGCTCTGACCTAAGACTGATGTTCCTTGTCAGTTGAAAGAGGAGGATGAAATAAGATCAGTGGCATAGATTTGGAGCGAGATTCCCATCTGGTGTAATTTAGCCCAATTTCATTGAATTAATCCATTTTCAAGGTAGTGAAGTTAAATCGAATTATGTAGTCTGAGAATCTGGCCTTTTGTATAACCTCACTATTTCACAGGAAAATCAATGCAGAGTTAAACTGTAATCCCGTCCTCCTCGTAGTTTTAGCTACATCTGGAACTCTATAAAGCACGAGCTGGAAGTGCAGTGTAGTAGGTCACTACCTAAAGACAGAGAAGATAAACCAGGAGAGACTTTGAGAGATCTGCTACTCTCTTTCCCACCTCTAGCTGTATCGTTCCTGTGAGATACCTGGTTTTTCTGTGCTTTAGTGATGGAGATTCTCCACTGCCTCTAGGCAATTTTTGCCTGTCCTTAAAAAGACTACTTATAACATCTCTTTCCAGTTTTACTTGCAGATGTTTGATCCCGTTATTTCTGCTGTTCATCCATGTAGACATGGGCATTGCCTGTTTCACTGCAGTAGCTTCCAAGATGTTTGGCTGCTACCATCCCCTCTCAGGCTACTGTCTCTCCTTAGGTTTAACAGTCTCAGTTTGTTCAGTCTCTTCTCATAGCTTGTGTTTATCTGATCTCGGATTATTCTGGCTGCCTTTCTCTGGGTTCTTTCCAAGTCTTATTTGTCTTACTTGATTTGCTGTATTTGAAGTGCCTCATCCCAACCTGGACAGCACTCCAGGCCAAGCCTTGCCAGTGCTAGGAGGTGGAGAGTCTTAACTCAGGTGTAAAGCATATTCCTGCTCATACGCCCTCGTATGATGATTGCCACCTTGTCACCAACATGACATTTTGGTCCCCTGTTATCCGAGGTGCTGCCTACACAGTTCAACCAGGGTGCTCTGTTTTGCTGGTACCCGCTAGAGCTTCCCAGGAGGGAAGATACCTTGACCATGTGCAATCTGATAGTGAGCTCAAGCTGTGTCTGTGTTAGCTGGATCAACTGGAAATACGTGAGCAGGGGTGCACATTAGCTGGCATCTCGAGCCTGGCTTTTCTTCAGCAGAATGTGGGCTCTGGAGCTACCAGCCAGCAATGTGAACAGAAATCGTCTGTTGCCAAAGCTTGCGGTGCCCGAGCCTGATCTTTGCTGCTGTTTTTCACTACTCACACATGGGAAGGAGCAATGAATGGCCACAGTGGTGAGGACTATGTAGGACAGGGAGTTCTGCATGTTAAATCCAGCTGCTATCACAGTGCAAGCTCCCCATGGCATGTGTGCTTGTTTACGCTGATTTGCACTGTAGTAATTTTTAAATGCGATAAGTTGTTGCATAAATGTGAGCTGTAAAATTTATTTTGAAATTCTTGTATTTTATGTGCTTTTATTCCCACAATTACACTAAAGCTGTAATGACCTGTTGAATTAGAAATAGTAAGTCCAATGGACAAAATCACATACCAGACAATGTAGGACACATTAAGTAATCACGTAAGGAGCCAGCTTCGAGCTTTGTCACTTCATTAAAATCTTGCACTTATGTGTCACTTTTCATGTTCTGTACAGGCTGATGGTTAACTGATGACTATTTTAATAAGAAGGTTGAACCAATACTGTTAAAATTAAATGACTGTTTTCTGACGTCAATATAGATCTTGTGGTGAGATACTGAAATATCGTCCGGTGGCTCTGGTCACATCTGGGAGACAATTCTGTCTGTGCAGATAAGCCTTCCCCAAAAGGGGAAGCAAAATGAAGATTCCCCAGAAGTTGGTCTATATTAACTAAATAGGTAATTGAATAGAAAAAGTTTGACATCCTCATAATAATTCCAGCATAATTAAAGCACGCACTTCAATTTTGCAATCGGATCTGCACAAGGGAAGGACTCCTGCACCTGGGCAGGTGCTAGTTGACTTCAGCATTATTCCATGTGGGGAAAAGTGTCTTTTCAGAAAAGTCTGCATGAGGAGGTTTTGTACATGTGTATTTGTTTTCAGATGAGGGGATAAAGGGAAATATGGGCCAAACCCAGGGCTGGCAATTTAGTTGGAAATGAGTATCTAGGACATCAGCAGGCATGGCAGTAGGTGGAAATTCTGTGCAAGCACAGTTGGAGCAGAATGACACCATGTTTACTGATCACAGTGCAAGCATCAAGCTGGCAAAATGACACTTTCACAAGTACGATGTGACTGTTGAGAAATATTAGTATAGCAAAAGAAGGAGAATCTAGGTATGTCACAATTTGTTCTCTTTCTGGTCAGTAGGATGAGGCATTGTATCTCTTTAAAATGCTAATACAAACTTGCCAGGTCATTTTGGTGTATGTGTAACTATGTCTGTGCATGCACGTGTTCATGTACAGTGTTCTAAACTACGTATAGTTATTTTTCATTGTGGAGATAAAAGGTCTTTTAAAGAAAAAGTGTTCAAGAATAGTACAGCTATCCATTTCCAAAGGTAGTTTTACCTCTCCAGCACTGGACAGAGTTTGAGCAAAACGAATCTGAAACAATGAATACTGAATCAAAACCAGGTGATGCCAGACAAGGAGTCTGAATTCCCGACATTTAACTACCAGAAACATCTGTTTCTGTGTGTTGGTAATTCCACCTTTTTTAAAAAGTGTTTTTAAAGATGGGAACAATTTTATGAATTAAAAAAAAAAAAAGTCCCCAACACATGTATCTCTAATTACCTGGTTTAGTCTGTGTGTTTAATCAGTATGAATTGAGAATGCCATGTACGTTTGATTTCAATCTCAAAGACCAGTTGAGCACTGGACAGTTACTCTTCCCCCATCTGCCAGTATGTGCCTATGCCAAAAAGCAAACAAAACCAGCCAACCAACCGAAAAAAAAACCGAAAACAGCCTACACCCAGGAAAAAGGGGGAGGATGGAACTAACACACGGATGTTTTCTAAAGAAGCCACTTGACTCCAATTAAATGTCTAATTTCCTTAAAATGTTGCTTTGGATTTAGATCTTTGTTTGATTCTGAAATTGGGACTTTTTTTTATGTAGTTGAGGAATATCACTTAAAGATTGGCCATGTTCCAGCATCCAGCTGGCATAGCTATAGAGTGTGTGAAAGTGAATAGCATACATATTCTGCGGTGGCTTCCCCATCCTGCCAAAGATTTAGGCTCCAGCTTAACTATTCACTGCCAGAAGTGCCACTGAGTCAAATGGCATTACTCAGACGATTAAAATTGAGGTTTTCCCGGGGTAACAACTCTTACCTATGCGTTAGGTCTTTTTCTCCCTCTCTTTTCTTGCATTAGTCCCTCTCCGCTTTTAGAGAAGCACTTTTTTTGTGTGTATGTTTCATTATTTGTTTTAATAATCTGGCAGAGGAGCTAGCTGAAGTTTTACTGAAACTTTATGTTAGTCAGCGTGCTCCTGGTGACTGGACATGGGGGAGGACTTGCAGTTTGCATCGCTGGTACTGGCAGATAGCTGCTTTTGTTCTGGCCCCATTTCTGAGGGCCAGAGTCCCCCAGGTGACTGCAGCTGCTGTGGAACAGGTTCAGCCACCCAAGGTAGTACCTACTGATGCCTCGATGATCATTAGGCAGAAGGTGGACTAGCAGTTCCCTGACAGCTGTTTTAAATATACATTTTAGGACGCTAATTTCTCCCATCTCTCCCCCTTCTCTTTTGCTTCTAGAGTTGCTGGAACTGTGGCCGGAAAGCTAGTGAAACCTGCAGTGGTTGCAACACAGCACGATACTGTGGCTCATTTTGCCAGCATAAGGACTGGGAGAAGCACCATCACATCTGTGGACAGACCCTCCAAGCCCAGCAGCAAGGAGAGACACCAGCAGTGAGCTCCTCCGTGACACCCAGCAGCGGGGCCGGGAGCCCCATTGACACTCCACCAGCAGCCACTCCTAGGTCCACCACCCCGGGAACCCCATCCACCATAGAGGCGACTCCTCGTTAAAACTGAACTCAAAACTCTGAAAACAAAAACACAACAAAAAATGAAACCAATTCCTCATCCTCAGATG